AGGGGCCCAATACTAGGACGTTGTTCTCGATTTTGATTTTGGGATAGGAGAAAGAAATACTTTGGGTTCTTTCGATTTCATTTATGGCTTTTAGTTCTTCCCGCGATTCCTGACTCCTAAAGGATTCTTTTAGCTTAAGTTCGATGCTTGCTATTTCTCTGACCCGTGTCTCCCTGCGCATTTCTGATATATTGACCTCTTTTAGCCGCTCTGTTATTCTTTTTTTCCCTCGCCTTAAAGGGAGCGCCTGTCTCTTTCTATTTTTCATCTACTCCTCCTTTTTCTTAGAGGGAAAAAGCCTTGTGCATACATCGAGTGCCACCGAGTTAATCTGTTCTAGGCAAAGTTTGGTCTGTGTTGCTTGTATATCTTCCCAGCTTATATCGGTTAGGAAATTGGTTTACTTGGTCCCACTTTAGTTTTTTGTTATTGAAGTTGAATTTTGGGGAATGCTCCCTCGTGACTAGTCTCCCTTTTGTCGGTCGGGGGTCCACGCAACATGTCTGAACCTCAATTATGTTGTGATCTGAGTAAAAATTTTTTGATATGGTGACATTTCTTATCAGATCATCATTGTTAGTGAAGATGAGGTCTAGTGTATTCTCCATCTAGTAGGCTCTATTATTTGCTGGGTTTTAAAATTTAATTTTGGGGCAGGGGATTTAAAAGCTCGGGAGTGTGAGTTTCATCAGAGCGCCTCCTGGGTTATTACTGAACAATATTTTTTGCTATATTCCCCATTTTAGGTGCCTTAAGTTGAAATCCCCCAGGAGCAAGAGGGTTGGGGTGCGGAGCGGGAAGGGGTTTTCCAGACAGTGGTCAATTTTTAACAGCTTTTCCCTGGAATTGCTGGGTTTTTTGAAAAACCCCCCCCCGGGAGGCTTTTAGACAACCAAAAGCCCTAGGTTTTGGTTCTCGACCTTTACTGCTAAAACTTCCACTGTCATTTTAGGCATTTGAAATTCCCGTGCAAACAAGTGCCTTTGCAAAGTACAGGCCAACCCCCCCTTTTGCCTGTTTTACCCCTGTCCATCTGTATAGGTTGTAAACCCGGGGGTCCATTTTTTTGGGGGGTTTTCCAATTGGGCCTTTATTTTTGGGGCCCCAGTGAAAACCGCCCAACCCTTGCCTTTTGGGCCTTTTGCAAGCAGTCCCCGGAGGAAAAGGATTTTGTTTTTTATTGCTGGGTTTTGACCCTGTATATTTGCAAAGGGAAAAATGTTTTCGGGCTGGTGGGATTGTTTGGGACTGGGGGGGGGTTTTTTTTCCCGGGATTTGTTTCTGTATCTGTTGGTTTTTGGAGTGGGGGGCCCAAACGACTGTTTGGTTTTCCCCTCCAGGAAGAATGGATTTGGGGTACGATTTTTTGCCTTTCCTGCCAGTTTTTTTTTTTCCTTTCCCGGTACAAAAAACCCCTCCCTCTTGAGTGGCTGGGTACCCAAAGGTTTTTCCCATGGGCCCGGATGTTTTTTTTATTTTTGTTCCCCCCTTTTGGAAAGGTTGCCCGGCAATTTTTAAATTAAAAGCACAGTCTTTCCCGTACTGAAAAGGTTAAAATTTCTTTTGGGGGAAAAAGCTTACAGGAAGGGGGGTTTTATTTTCCCGTTGTCAAATGGGCATGACATTTTCCCCCGGGTGGCATAGTTGCATGTCCCATTTGTTTTTCCAGATTTTTTTATGCCTGGGAGATTCCCAAATGCATAGTAAAAATCACAGGCTTGGTTTCCGTTTGCCTTGGGGTTTTTGTGACTGTTTTCCCTGTTGGTGGAAAGTTTCCCCCGGGCTTATTCCCATCCCCTTAGCACCAACCAAAGGAGCTCCACCAGTGGTTTTTTTTTGGGAAATTTTTTCCTCAATTTTCTATTGGAGTCCTCTTGTTTGTATTTCCTGCGGGGAAATTTTGGGTTTTCAAAAATTGGTTTTTTTTTTTTTGACTACACTTGTTTTTCCCAAATTTGGCTCCGTTTCCCCTTTGAGGGCATTTATTTTGGATTTTCCCTTCCCGCGTATAATTCCCGACTACCCGGACAAAAATCCCCCCAGCTTCACCATTACTGTTCCCCGGAAATTTTTCTCCAATTCAAAAATTTCGGGCTCCCCGGACAAACAACCCCCGCTTCACCCTTTTTTTTTCTCCCCGGCGCATACACCCCACTTTACTGACAAACCCGGATAAACCTCCAGGGCCCTTTCAAATTTTTGACTACATGGCCCGTATCAAGGGCGTACCATTCAGGGCCCCGGGCTTTTTATTTTCCCATCTGTTGTAGAAAGCTTCCCGGTTTTCTATGAAAGCAGCTTTGATTTTTATCCTCTTTTAATACCCTTGTGATTTAGTCCACAGATTTTCCTCATTTGGGCATACCCAAAAACACTTCTCTGTTTTAATACTGCTTGTAGCTAGTTCTGGGATATCTGCAACAAGGAGCGTGACACCAATTTCCACAAAAAATGACAATTTACCCCATGTGGTAGCCCGTTTGTTTGACTGACCACAGACTACACACAGCTTCATAATGATTTGAATGGTTGATTACTGCAAGTCTACTAGCAACCCTTGAATATTATATTAATAACCTTAAATGAAGCTCTAGCTATTTGTATTTCTTTTTCCCTAACTCTTTTTGTATATTGGACAGCTTACCGTCACGTTCCTGATTTTTAATGTTTGTGTTTAAAAGGGCGCCTACAAACCCATCCGTTTACAGTCTGCTTTATTGTCCAACGAAACTGTTTGAAACCAGTCAAGGGTTCGGACCAGTCAAGGGTTCGGACCAGTAAAGGGTCGGACCAGTCAAGGGTTTCGGACCAGTCATCTGCTCTGATCAGTGGGTCACTTATTTAAAACATACGGGTCGGTGATTTGAGCTAACAAAAGAAGGATCTACTGGAAATTATCTACCCAAGTAATATGTGATTTGATGTTACAAAAGTATAACTTGCGTGTTGAAGAGCCGGTGATATCTGGCAGCTCCTACAATGACGTACAGGTCGACCCTCTTTGTTTATCAATCGCTGTATCTGGTTTTTTCTATTTTTGTTTTTCCGTCTCCACCACAATAAATGCTATATTATCACATAGTGACTGGTGCAAATTTTGGAGGAAGGACGCTTTTTCTGTAGTAATAATTGCTTCTCGTTGTGTATATTGCACCGCTGGTAACTACAGGTTTTTATGAATTCACAGTAACGTCTCGAATTTCAAGAAAAAGAAACTAATGAAAGTCACTCCACTCCACTAAGTACCATTATAATACTGGTTAGTTGCTACTACAACACTGTATTCTGCTATTCACTGGTATCACTAGATTATAAAGCGAGTACACTAGCAGGCCCGGAAGATTAAAAAAACAGCTGACCTGTGGTAAGTTTCTGGCGACTTCTGGCACCTGCCTCTTAGGCTTATCACTTCATTTACAAATTCACCTGTTTTCAAATGACACTTTAAACCTTTATCATCAATATACTAGGGAGCCACTGTAGTAAAACACTATACACAAAGTATACTCAATGCTTTCAGGGAGACTTTCTTTCCTCTGACACAACGTTCAATTATTATTATTTTTTTCACACGGGAAACAGGCCTATGATTCCCCTCTGGCAGTAAACTCTGCTAGGTAATGCACACTAATTCTCCTTTTTTGACTCAGTATATAATGTTTTCCGCCCAAGATTGGTTCCAGGCGCTAGAGGGATGTATCGTATAGATACAACTTATACAGACCATAGCTGACATCAATGACATACTACTATATAGAAAGTCCCTCGTTATGCTGAGTATTTCGGGCAAATTAGGTCAGTTTTATCCCAGGATGCGACCCACACCAGTCCACTAACCAACAGCAACACAATTTATACTTATTTACACCATAATAATTTATGCAATATAAATTTGGGAAAATTTATGTATACCTGAATAAACTTACTAAACTGTTTTCTTCTCATTCCCGCCCAGATTTAGGCAATATGTGTTTCTTAAAAGGACACAATTGCAACTAATATGACATTTTATTGTGGCAACGTTTCGCTCTCCAGGAGCTTGATAAAGCTCCTGGAGAGCGAAACGTTGCCACAATAAAATGTCATATTAGCTCTGGGACCTGGTGGCTAAAGCTCTCGCTTCACACGGCGAGGACCTGGGTTTGATTCCCAGCCAGGGTAGAAACATTATTAGGGACTTGTTTCCTTACACCGGTTGTCCATGTTCACCCATCAGTAAAATAGGTACCTGGGTGTTAGTGGACTGGTGTGGGTCGCATCCTGGGACAAAACTGACCTAATTTGCCCGAAATACTCAGCATAACGAGGGACTTTCTATATAGCAGCATGTCATTGATGTCAGCTATGGTCTGTATACCTTGTACATGTACTGGTAGTAAATGAAGATATTATTAGCTGGATCGGTAGCGCACTCAGCTCACACACTGATTTCCGGGGTTCGAATCTCCTCCGGTATTGCTGGAAAACATTAGGGACGTGTTTCCGTAAGACACCTGCTGCCCCTGTCCCTGTTCACCCATCAGATTAAAAATGGGTACCTGGGTGTTAGTAGACTGGATAAGATTTCGTTCGGATTTTTAACCCTGGAGGGTTAGCCACCCAGGATAACTCAAGAAAGTCAGTGCGTCATCGAGGACTTATTTCCATTGGGGTCCTCAATCTTGTCCCCCAGGATGCCACCCACACCAGTCGACTAACACCCAGGTACCTATTTGCTGCTAGGTGAACATGAAAACAGGTGTAAGGAAACGTGTCGAAATGTTTCCACCCGCCGGGAACCGAACCCGGGCTTTCCATATGTGAAGCAAGAACTTTAGCCACCAGGCCACCGGGTCGCATCCTGGAACAAAACTGACATAATTTGCGGGAAACGCTCAGCATAACAAGTAGCTTTGGTCAGCTATGGTCTGTACACCTTGTACATGTACAGGTAGTAAATAAAGATATTAATATTATATTATTAATAAAATATATGGTATCCCGGACAGTTGGGTGGAAGGGTTCAATAAAGCGGCAACTCTGGTGGCCCTGAGTAACCCCAGCCACAACAACAACACCGGCTCTTACAAACAAAGGTAAATATTTCACACAAATATATGAAATTGACACTAGTATAGGGTGAGACAACTTTATTATTTCCAGGCGAAACGTTTCCACAATAAAGTTACCTCGTATTGGCCAAGTGTGTCTTTTAAACAGTAGTTGTGAGGCGACGCCAAGTCAGTCAATCACCAATATTATAATAAATCTCTGTGGCTGCTTTTTCTAGGAAGCCACAATTATAGAGGAAATAAAACTTTAAGATATGATTTTCACACGTGTCCACCTTATTACCCTCTTCATGGCGATGTTTTCTGTGTAAAAAGGATTTTTTTTTTTTTTGCGTGGAGAATTTAGGTCATCGCGTCATTCTTAACGAGTTTCTTTGGCGTTTAAAATGGCAGGTAGTTTAATTATGTTATATGGGTTTAACCCCCGAAGGGAGGTGCCTTGATGCCAGTGGTGGCTCTTGATCCAGGGAAGTGGCCCTCTCTCTTTGGATCGTATCATTCCATCTCATTCCCCGTGGGCTTTATAACCCTTACGGATTTAGTGTTTTCCCTTGGTTATCTCTCTCGATATCAGTGGTGGCTCTTGATCCAGGGAAGTGGATCTCTCCTCTCTTTGGATCGAATCAGATTCCATCTCATTCCTCATGGGCTTTATAACCCTTACGGATTTAGTGTTTCCCCTTGATTATATTTCTTGATACCAATGGTGGCACCTGATCCAAGGAAGTGGATCTCTCCTCCCCTTCCTTGTGTCGAATGTGATTACTTCTGATTGTTCCCCCCAGATTATCTCTCAAGGGAGGTGCCTTGATGCTGATGAGGGGCTCTTGTTCCGAGGAACTGGGCTTAACCTTCCCTTGCTTGGATTGACCTTGAATGTCTCTCATTTCCCAGGTGTTATAATTCCCCTACGTATATGGCTGTTCCCCGTGAATAAAATGGAATTCCCTGGATTTTAATAATAATACATAGGTTTATTGAATGTGAAAGACTGAGCATACTTGATAATTTTTACCCTATGTTCCTGCTATGACAAAATATTTGTAGATGAAATGTATAATGTCTGAAGATAATTTCTTAATAATATTAATAATATTTTTACCTCTACAAGTACTTATACAAGGTATACAGACCATAGCTGACATCAGTGACATACTGTATAGAAAACCGCTTGTTATGCAGAGCGTTTCGGGCAAATTAGGTCAATTTTGTCACGGGATGGAACCCACGCCAGTCGACTAACACCAAGGGACCCATTCTATACTGATAGGTGAACATAGACAACCGATGTAAGGAAACACGTCCATTGTTTCAACCCTCACCGGGAATCGAGCACCGGACATTCACCATGTGAAGTGAGATTTTAGCCACCAGGCATGTATGGTTACTGGGGGGGTAACTGTGGTTTAGGTTTTAATGAGGGTAAGCACACTGGTGCCATAAAATAGTGACTGATGTCCTGATATGTCAAGTAGTGAAATACAGTAATAAAAAAGGAAGTAACGAAAACCCTGACCCTTAATGCAAAACCAATAAAACAACTACCTAACTGTATAACAACTTGGCATACATACATACATATAGACACACACATATATACGTATTTACAATGCTCTTTGTTAAGTGTCTTGTGCTATTATATATTGATATTTGTTTGGCAGAAATATGGCAGAAGCAGCAGCTAAAGGAGACCCCTCACCACCAACAAAGAAAATGCGAACAGATGACTCCAGTAATGCAGTAGACAGTACCACTGACAAGAGTTGCGAGCAGGTAGAGGCCACCAGTGGAGAGGATGAGCTCTTCTCCTCTTTTGAAGAGTTTGAGATTATTCGTATCCTGAATAACAGTGAAGAGCACAAGATGTTGGCTGTAGAAGGGCGTCTTCAAGGCAGACCAGGTACTGCTGTTGTCGTGCTTCAGGTAATTACAGTTCTCCCAAAATTTCCGTTTTTCGTAGAGATTTCTAGTAGACATCCAGAGTTTTTGAATTTCATCAGTTGTCAATTTATTACAGATTAAGTTCACTATAGTATTTCCTTTCCCAATTGTATTATAAATTTTGAATGCCACATGTTCTTTCAAAATATCTTGTGGGTAACCCTCCAGGGTTAAAAATCCAAACAAAATCTTATCTTATCCTTATATAAGCATTTTGTGTTGTAGTTGTAAATTAATGCATTACTGAATGAAATACATCTAATTCATAATTTTTCCTTCAGAAACTTCCTTTCAATGCAGACAAAATTGAAGAGATCTTCTCTAGATCTACTAATTTATTGGAAATATTCCACAATGATATTTATTACAACAAGACAGCATTGTTGCCATCTGAACTCAATGGTAAGTGTTTAAATTTTATATATGTAATTTGAAGACTAATTTTCATATATGTACTGTGTTTCTCTCTCTCCTTCTCTCCTCTCTTCTCTCTCTCTCTCTTCTCTCTCTCTCCCCTCTCTTTTCTCTCTCTCTTCCTCTCTCTCTCTCTCCCTCTTTCTCTCCTCTCTCTCTCTTTCTTCTCTCTCTTTCTCCCCCTCTCTTTCTCTCTTCTCTCCTCTCTCTTTCTTTTTCTCTTTTCTCTCTCTCTTTCTCTCTCCTCTTTCTCCTCTTTCTCTCTCTCTCTTCTTTTCTTTTTCTCTCTCTTTCTCTTTCTTCTTCTTTTTCTCTCTCTCTCTCTCTTTTCTTTTTTTCTTTCTCTTTTTCTCTTTCTCTCTTCTTTCTCCTCTCTTTCTCTCTCTTTTCTCTCTCTCTTTTCTCTTTTCCCCTTTTTCTCTTCTCTTTCTCTCTCTTTTTCTCTCTCTCTTTCTCTCTCTTCTCTCTCTCTCTCTCTCCTCTCTTTCTCTCTCTCTCTCTCTTCTTTTTTTTTTTTTTTTTTTTTTTTTTTTTTTTTTTTTTTTTACACGGGTTTAAAAAGGTTAAGGATCCCTAGCTTTATGACAGCATTTACGGGTTAAAGGTTTCCCTAACTTTTTTGGGCAAGCTAGAGCGTTACCTACATCAGTCATTTAAAAGCATTTTTTTGTTATGGCATAAAGTGGGGAACAGGTAAATTTGGACCCATCTGGGGGCCAGCATTTTATTTGATCAACTGACGTTATCTCTTTGACATCTTTGCGTACAAAGGGTTTTCCCAACTCGAGTCTTTCCTGGTAGTATGATCTCAAGGGAGGTGTTCGGGGAAAAGGGGTAAGCCGGTGAAGTTGCTGTTTCTCCCCGTCTTGTGGCAAAAAAAGTTGTTTCCGCTGCCCAAAGTGGACCCAAAGTGTGGTATTTTGAAAATTTTGGGCCTTTACAAACGTAAGGCCCCCATCCCTCCTTGTTGAAGGTTTGCTGAAATGACAGATCTATCCGGGATGGGTCCAGGGGAAAATGAGACGTCTTCTCTGTTTCTACCCTGCAAGCAGTCGCAGATGAGAGGGGGGAGGAAAACCCAAGAAAGTGGAGATACTCAAGGTTGAGCGTACTTGTGCCTCGTACAGGATCTGAAACCCCCCTACTGTCAAGAATGGAGTACGGCGAAGTGCTGTAGTTCCGGGCTGCCTTGTTTGCAAGATTTACAACGGTTCTTTGGTTTATTTTGGAGTAAAATTTCCCCCCAAGGATATCAACTTCTTTCCGGTGCCAACATTCCCATTATCCTTATTACTGCACAGCATTACCTCATGGTGCCAAGACGATATCATTTGCTTTTTTTCCAGGGCAAATGTTACTTGCCATCTATTTCCCCAAGCTGATATAGCTCCCCTGGTGTTTTGATGTAGCTTAGCGCGCTGGCATTTCTTCTCTTGGAAGTGAATGTCAGGTACAGTCTTTGCTATGCTGGATTCGGGGTGAGATAAAGAAGGTCGTTGAATAGGAATTCCATAACAGGGCCCCAGCCACTTCCCTTTGTGGAACGCTTCCCCCCAAATAGGATCCCTTGCTGTTTCCGTTCCTTTGAGGATACACTTAAGATCTCCATGAAGGAAATCATGAGGAGACAAGCGTGACCCGCAATTCCCCCGTGCTTGAAGTTTGCAAGGGGCCCCGGGGTGCCACACCCGTCAAAAGCGCAGCAATGTCCAGTGCTACCACACAGCTGACTTTGGATTAACCAGTGAGGGTGCCACTTAGTGGAGAGGTTTAACAACAGATCGAGCGGAAACCTTTCCTGAAGCCATATTGACGATCACAAATAGGAGGGTAGTAAAAAAAACTGTTTTTGTCTTGAGTTATTGTCTAAGGATCTTTCCAGCGATTGACAAGAGTGACACTGGTCTGTATTGTGATTCTGCTTGCTCTTTTTTTTGTGAAGGGGGCTACATTTGCCTTTTCCCCTGGAGAGGGCCCCATTTCATGTATAGGAAAGTGCTAAAAGATGCGAGTTAGGGTGGCTACCTTTTGACATCTTCTCAACAATCTTGGGCTCAACTTGTCTGGGCCCACAGCCTTTTCCTGGTCAAGTGATTTAAAAAATTAATGCACCCCCTCCTGCCTTATTGTCACCACTGCTTTTTGACACAGTTTTTGCAGTACCCAAGGAGGGCCCCTTGCTGGTCGGGAAAACTTGCTTTTTGGTAGAAAAAGTGTTCGCAAAGAGGTCACCCTTTTCTCTTGACTACAAGTAAGGTGGTCCCCTCCTGTCGTTTTAGAGGTGGAATAAGTTCATCGCAGATAACCTTGTCTGCCCTTGCCCGGGGCCCCCAGGTTTTGGGCCTCCCCTACCTGATGCTAACTTTCTTTTAGGTCCACCTCCCTTAAACAAAGGGCCCCCTTTTGAACATCACCCATAGCCACGGGTTTTCATGTGCAAATTCCCGTTATAGGTGGTAGGATGCTCTTATACCCTTCGCCATGCTTTTTCTTTGCATACACCTCTCTACAACAAAGCCAAAACCCGGGCGATCTGTGGCTTTGTCACATATTTCCGGGGGGGAAATTTTTCTTGTTGCGATTAAGGATGGTCC